GGGTTTTTCGTTTATACGCCAAAATTTGTTGATCTTTTGACCAAAAGTTCATCAAGTTTTAAAGGTGTTTTCCATAATTCCAAGTTGATTTTGAAGCTAGTGTTGCTGCTAGAGTGTCAAAGCTGCTGATGAGTGGGAATATTATAGACAAGAAGAAAGAAATCAGAAGTGGGAGCGGTAAAAATGGAGAGAATGGCATTGTTGAAGGTATTCATGATGATAGAATTGATGGTAATGAAGCTGATTTAGAGAAATTTAGTTCTTCAGGCTCAGAAAGTGAAATGGAATCAGATAATCAAGATCCTACATCGAGAGATCTAGAATCCATTGGAAGATTTACTAATTTTAAAATGCCCAATTTTTGGAATAATATAAATCTTTATAATCCATATAATAAGGAAGATGCTAATTCAAATGTTAACGTCCAAACCATTTCTAGACGTGAACAATTATCAAACTTGATTGAAGATTTGAAAAGTGGGTTTTCATTACAATCAGCATTGGATAGATTTCAAACCATAAGATCTGCATTAGAATCCTCAGTTGATGAAGCTATTGATAATAGTGCAATTCATGGTGATGAAGATGAAGAAGAAAATTATGAACCTCATGTTATAACAGCCGCCGTGGAACCTAAAGACATCCCCATGTTGGATCAAGTTATTATTCCTGAAGATAAAGATCCAAGAAATCATTCATCATCTCATTCAAAACATACACACCGTAAGAAGAAAAAAAAATCTTTGAAGAAAGTTACATTAGAAACTAATTCTGAAGTTGAAGAATTAACAAATATACCACAAGATCATGAATCAAATGATGAAATGTTTTTAAGAAATAGAATTAAAAAAATAAGAAGATTAGATATAAGTGAATTAGAAAAAAATAGATTAACTCAAAAATTAATGATGGGTGCACATTATGATAAAATTAGATTTGTTGATGATAATGGTGATGAAGTTTTACAAATTACAGCAGATCAACAAACACAAACTATAAATAATAAAGAACAAGATAAGGGAAAAGAACAAGAATCATCTGAAGAAGGAGAAGAAGGTTATGATTATGAAGAAGATGATGATGACGATGAAGATATTGTAATTGTTAATGAAGAAGATAAAGAACCAACATATCATAATGAAGATCAAGATATTTTTGGATGTCCACATTATCAAAGGAATTGTAAAATGGAATGTCCACGTTGTAAAAAATGGTTTGGATGTCCAATTTGTCATGATGAATCAATATCAGGTCATAAATTTAAAAGAGAAAATACAAGACATATAATGTGTTTAAAATGTTTTGCAGTTCAAGAACCTAGTGAATTTTGTGAAGATTGTGATATTCAATTTGCTTCATATTATTGTTCTAAATGTAAATTATATGATAATGATGATTTTAAAGATATTTATCATTGTGATGATTGTGGTATTTGTCGATTAGGATTGGGTTTAGGACAAGATTTTTTCCATTGTAAAGGATGTAATGCATGTCTTTCCATTGAATTACAAGATGATCATAGATGTATCGAGAGAGCAACACAATCAGATTGTCCAATTTGTGGAGAATATATGTTTACATCAGTTAAACCTGTTGTTTTCATGTCTTGTGGTCATGCAATTCATCAATCATGTTATGAAGATCATTCAAAACATTCATATAAATGCCCAACATGTCAAAAAACTGTTTTAAATATGGAAGCACAATTTAGAGTTTTAGATATGGAAATATCATTACAACCATTACCGCAACCTTATTGTCAATGGACTTGTGTTATATCATGTAATGATTGTAATGCAAAATCATCATGTGCTTATCATGTCTTGGGTTTAAAATGTGATAATTGTAAAAGTTATAATACAGTTCAATTAAAATTAATTAAACCTGAAGAAAGTGATTATGATAGTGATATTTCTACAACAACTAATCAATTAAGAAATAGATCAGGTTTTTCAAATTTAAGAAATATACCAATTAATAGTTCAAATTTATTAAATACAAATTATAATATTGAATTAAATACAACTTTATCTTCAGGAGCTGCAGGTGCAGGAATTTCAAATGGTCAAGGAATTGTTAATCCAATAATACCTTCTTCACAATCAAATGAAGGCTCTACAAATCTAAATTCCGCACAACAATCAAATTTAAATGAAGGTAGAATTTTAACATTACCTCAACAACTTTTACAAAATTTTGATACATTTGTTCAAAGTATTCAAGATTCATCAAGTGAAGATGATGAAAGTGATGAACAAGATTTTCTTCGAGTTAATAAATCATTAAAAAATAGATTTAAAAGTGATGGTATTTTTAGTGATTCAAAAGATAATACACCTGAACCAGATCAAAGTAATGAAGGTGATAACAATATTGATAATAATGATAAAGATATAGATGAAACTACTGGGCCTGTTCAAAGTTTTACAGGTGCATTAAGAGAATTTTTAGCATCAGGGTCATTAGTTGGAATGATTGATGATATGAATAATGAAAGTGATGAATTAATTGATAGTGATGAAAATATAAATGGTTTTTAATGTAAACTCATTGGCATATATATATAAACTACTAATGATTGTATGATAATATATTAATAAATAATGGTCATTAAATTCATATAAAACGTAGCTAGAAAGAAATAAAGATAATATATAATACATCTGGGTATTAAACGTGATGATCATAATTTTGAATCAGGCGCTTCACCAAGATGTGCACCACCATCAATTGGAATAACAGCCCCATTTATATAATCCGATTCTTTAGCACAAAAAAACAAGACAACACTTTCAATATCTTTTTGATTTCCTAATCGCTTCTTTGGATTTGCTTTAACCATTTTTTCACCAATATTTTCTAATAACCCATTTGACATCTTTGTTGGGAAAAATCCTGGAGCTAATAAATTAACATTTATATTTTGTGGACCTAATTCTAAAGCTAAAGTTTTACCCATATGCATAACACCAGCTTTTGAAGCAGCATAACCATATGTACCACCTTCAATTGCATTAATTTGAATACCAGCAATTGAACCCATTATTAAAACTCTTGATGAATAATCTTTTGAACCAGCTTTTTTCAATAATGGATAAAATGATTGAATTGTTAAGAAAACCCCTTTAACATTTAAATCAAGTACTTTATCAAAACCAGTTTCTGGATGAGTTTCTAAAGCTTCACCCCATGAAGCACCAGCATTTGCAATCAAGATATCAACATGATCTTCATGTTGTTTAACAGTATTGAAAAAATGATCAACCCCAGCTTTATTAGAAACATCAGAAGCAATCCCAACGATTTTTGCATCTAATTCATCTAATTTATTAATTTTTTGTAAATAATCAACAGCTTCTTGAACAGCTTTATCTTTTCTTGAAGTTAAATAGATTGATTTAGCACCATTTCTTAATAATATTTCAGCACAATAAAGACCTAAACCTCTTGAACCACCAGTGATGGCGACGACTTTACCCTCAACGTTTAATTTAGTCATTTTGATAGAACCCAGGGAATACGTGTAATAAGAAACAATGAAGATAATCACAATCTGGACATTGTTCTAGCTATATACCTGAAATACCATAGATCAAATTTATAATTTTAGTGATGACTGTTGCCCTCATTAACGTCAGGTTGAGTACACCGAGGCAAATCGCATACATTAAATGGGAAAATTTCGCTACTCCACAAAGGAATTCAAATTTTCAAGCATTTATCGAGCAAGTAAAAAAAAAAGCCCTGAGCTGGAGCCTGGGTGACACTTAAACTTACCAGAAATTACCGATAACTGGAATCATCCGTGGCTTAAATATGTGTGATAAATTGGATTTACGCAAGTAATAGTAACGCATATCAGACCTAACTGTTTCAATTTAGACTGGAATGTAGGTAGTAATTGATGTTCAGTGATCTGAATTGGACTTGAGGTCAACGAGCGGACTTGTTTAAATAAAGATTAAGGGAAAGTTCCGATCGGAAATGTGAATTTTGAGAAAAGTTAAAAATCAGTCACGTTTTTGGTCAGGTGAAAATAAGAATTACATAAGAATTACATAATCATCATATGCAAAGCACATCGACACGTAACCATTGCCGCATTCGGTAGACTGCCTAATCAAGTAATCCAATTCCAATCCTCGGTTGGACCAACAGAAAAAGCAAATCCAGACCAACAGATGAGCTCAAAACCTCAAACTAAAGTTTAATAAAAGTATTTTAGTGGCTTTGTAAGACAACCATAATCAGATTTAAATCATAATAATTCAATTGAAGATATCAACAATAATTCAATCACATTCATTACACTCATACCATATTGTTGCTCACCATTCTTCATCAAGGCTTCATCTATTTCATACATATCCCTTGATCTCTCGTATAATAATTCATTACCCATCAGATTCATATACATTACCAACAACAAATGAATTCAATATCATATATTGCACAAACTTTTGATCGTGCTTTAAATAATGATTCAACAAATCCTTCACAAATAATACCAAGAGAGAATTCTAAAATAATACATAAATCTAATGATTCAAGTGATGAAATATCCATTGTGTCAAAAAGGCAATCTAATGAACTTGATGAATTAACAAATATTGATGATAATAATACATTATCAAATGAATCAAAATTATCATTTCTCTTAAGAATAATACTATTCATTCCAAATTTAATTATAATACGGCCATTATTATTCACTTGGTTCATAATAACTTTCCCTTTGAATCTATTAGAAAGTAGATCTTCAAATGATGAAGATGAAGATCATGAATATAATGAATATAATGAACAAAAACCAAATACATCAGATCAACAACCAAATAATTCTGATAGTGAACCACCATCAAATTCACCTTCCCCATTATTATCACCAATTTCAGCAAACTCAAAATCAACCCCAAATTCACCTTCACTTTCACCTTCTCATTCACATTCTCATTCACAATCTTCATCAAATTCAAAAAATTTTACAATCCCTGAAATTGATGAAGAAACTGAATCATTATCACCAAACTCATTAACTCAACCAATTGATTTAAAATCTCCAACTTCTCCAACTTCATCAGTTTTATCAAATTTAAATTCAAAATATTTATCATTCCCAAAATTTGTATTCCCAAGAAATTTAATAAATTCAAATCATAAAAAAACTCTTATATTAGATCTTGATGAAACTTTAGTACATTCTTTATCAAGAGGTACAAGAATGAATAATGGTCATATGATTGAAGTCAAATTAAGTAATCAAGTTGCCACATTATATTATGTTTATAAACGTCCTTATTGTGATCATTTTCTTAAACAAATTTCAAAATGGTTTAATTTAGTTATATTCACAGCAAGTGTTAAAGAATATGCAGATCCTGTTATTGATTGGTTAGAATCTGAAAGAAAATATTTTTCTAAAAGATATTATAGAGATCATTGTACTTTAAGAGATGGTCAAGGTTATATTAAAGATTTAAATATTGTTGATAAAAATTTACAAAATTTAATCATAATTGATAATTCTCCTATAAGTTATGCATGGCATGAATCAAATGCTATAATTGTGGAAGGTTGGATTAATGATCCAAGTGATTCGGATTTATTAAATTTAATACCTTTATTAAATGGTCTTAGATTTACAACTGATGTGAGATCGATATTAGGTTTAAAAAATGGTGAAATTGCACTTGAAAAATAAAGCATACTGTTCATGTTGTTAATGCTAATGATAATTAATTATGCATAATATATTAATGAAATTATACGTCTATAATATATATAAAATGTAGCAATGTTTTAACTCCCTTCTCTTTTTCATTATATGAGTATCCACCTGGGTATATCTTTATTCCTTTTTACCACCACCTCTAATTGGTTTTAAAATATTTAAATTTAATCCAACTCTACCATTAAAACTATGATTGCTACTATTAGTAGTTTTTCTGGACAACATATTACCATCAGATCTATAATTGTTAAATTCTCCACTATTAAAAGAATCAAATGATGAATCAATTTCATTAATTTGTGACATAAAATTATTTGAAAAACTTCTTTGACCTTGTTGTTGAGATTGTTGTTGTTGACTAGAACTCGCTTGATTAGATGATGATTTCTTAACACTTGATAATCTATCTTTTAAGAAAGTTAACTTACTTTCAAAATTTGCACTTTCTTTATTTGCTTGTAATTGTTGATCTTTGACCATTAATTCTAAAGTTTGAATACGTTCATTTCTTGTATCTGCAATTTTTTTGGTGGAAATCATATCTTTTTTCAATAAATTATTTTGTTGTTCTAATTCTTCTAATTTATCACTAAATTTATCTAAAGTTTGTTCCAAAGCTTGAACTTTTTGTTCTTCTAATTCTGGATCAATTGATGAAATTTTATTTAATTTATCTTGAACTTGATCTAATTTAACTTCTAATTCCACAATTTTAGAACATTTTTCATTTAAATCTTCAATTAATGATTTATTAACAAATAATGTATCTTCTAATTGTTTTTGTAATGGTACATTTGTTACTTGTGAACCTAATTGTAATGTTGGTGTTTGTGAGAAAATTTCAGTAAATTTCATAACTCGTTCATTAAGTGATTGAATAATTAAATCTGTTTCTTTATTTTTGGAATCTTCATTTTGTTTTTGTATAGCTATTTCTTCATCAGTTGGACCGTTTGATCTTGAACCTGATTTCCATAATTCAAGTTCATTCAAAAGTTCTTTATTCTTAAATTCTTGTTGTTCATTGATTAATTTCAAATTTTCAATTTGTTTCATCATTTCTAAACTACTTGGTTCAGTATTAACATGTGCTTTATTCTTAATTTTTTTAGCTCTTGTACCAAATCTTAAAGTGGAAATAGTTTCTTGTAAATTCAGAATAGATGGTGAACAATTTATAATTAAACTTGTTCTTGAATTACCACCTAATGATTCTTGTAGAATTCTTGTTAATTTTGAATCTCTATATGGTATATGAGTTGATTTGGAATCAGTTAATGCATTTATAACATTCCCCAATGAACTTAAAGAACTATTAATTTTTTTAGCTTCTTCTAAAGTTTGACCAGATGCACCAGTTTTACTAACTTTTTCACTACCTGCAAGATCAACCAAGAATAATTTTGATTTTTTAGTAGCACCATCAAGTTGATTAACTTGAGTTAAATCTAATTGGAAAATTGCATGAGATCTTGAAGATTCAACATTCATTTCAGTTGATGCAGTAGCTCTTAATTCAGAACCTCTTTTCAAAGCTGAATATAATTCTTGTGAAGAACCAATATAAATTTTATTTAAATTCCTTACATGAACTCCACTTGTTTTATCTTCATGAACAGTTAAATTTAAACTATTTTGGAAATCTGGACTTAATAAATCACGAATATTTTCCATATAAATTTCCATATATGAAACACTTAATGTATATTCAATATTTTCATCACCTTGACTAATTCTTTGAAAAATTAAATCTGAAATTCTTGGTATTATTCCCTTTGAATCTTCTTCATCTATTGATGAACCCATCATTGTATATGATTTCCCTGATCCTGTTTGTCCATATGCTAAAACTGCTCCATTATAACCTTTAAATAAATCATCAACAGTTTGGGCAACTGAATAATCAAAAATCATTGATTGTGAACATTGTGGATCGAATACTTTATCAAAAGTATAAAATTCATTATTAATCGAAAGAGATTCTGGATCTAAGAATTCCACTGAAGAAGAAGATGATGATGATGGCGATGATGATAAGTTTTCTGCATTCATCTCTTGATTATTTAAAGGTCTAAATCTAGCAACAACTTTGATATTATTAACCTCTTGTGACATTCTTTTACTCCTAAGCACACTACTATTTCTCTTTATAGGTGTTTGATCAAATGTAGAATCTGGAGAATTCAATTGATGTGGTGTCATCAATGATGACGAGCTTAATCTGTTTTTCTGTTTGCGTTCACTCATTGTTCTTCTTACTGTTGAATTTGATCTCATTGGTGAAGTTCCTCTTTTCAAAGGAGTAGAATTAGCTGGGAACTTTGGACTTTGAGGTGACAACAGCGGTGGGGCATTTGCACCTCTATTCAGCTGTGTTTCTTCCAGTACCATCTCTATGTTATGTATCTTGTGGTTATGTGTTTTTCTAGTACTAATATGATGTTGATCTTGTGGAAAACCCGTTGGAATGGTCTCTTATTGTTTACTGATTTGATGATCTGTCTTGTTTTCAACCGCCAAAGAAACCATAAAACTCTTTGAACCTGCACCTTTCTTAATCACTCTTCTTTATCCAGCAAATACTCTTTTGATCCAAATACCAGCACGCGTCCTCTTTTAAATAACCACCAGTTTCTCAATGGAGAATGTGATCTGAATACCCAATCTGAATGGAATTGATATGCCTGTTGATGTGCACTTTTCTTTGTTTTCATTTGGGAGAAAAACGCGCTTTTATAATTTTGTATGGCGTGGTTCGTACCAAAAAGTTTGGTTATGTAATCAATATAAACTACTGATATTAGTTTAATTTGCAAAAAAAGTCAAGTATTTTATTTCATTATTTACTCTTTGTAGTTCTCTATAGATTGAAAAAGGTGGTTGATATTAAGTAGAGGTTTCAGTTTTTTTGTTTTATTTCATTTAATTTCCACTGGATAGATAACAAATGGTTCATATTCTGTATCAACTAATGATGCATATTCATTTAATGAAGAATCCTTTTTAACTTTACCCTTTTTATCAACAGAAAAGGCATTACCACCTAAATAACCAAATTCTTGAAATAATTCTTGTTTAGCCTTTTCTAAAGATTTTGAAGTTGGTAATTTAATAATTGTTGAATTAAAATCTGGTGGTAATCCATATCTTAAAACACTTTCAACGAAAATTCTAATAGCTTTTAAATGAAACCAATTTGAAGTTATATCTGAATAAGCGGCTCTTGAAAGTCTAATTAAATCATTTTTCAAACGATTTTCATTTTTAGCTGCAATATCATGTTCTTCTTTTAATTCTTGTAATAATTCTTCAGAATAAACAAAATCTCTTGGAACATATTTTCTTTCTCTTAAAGCATGTAAAAATTCTTGTACATATTTTTTAAATAATGTTACACCATATAAATAATATTCTTTATCATCAGTTATTATTTTAGCACTTCTTGGAACAACAAATTGTACTAAAGATTCATAAGTATTTAAAAATTCTTTTTGTAAATTTTTTGGAACTGCAACTAAAACAGTTTGTAAATGATCTGATCCAAGAACAAAATCAGAAGCTTTAACAACATCATGTAATGATTTAACTGATAAATCACCACTTTGTTTTCTTTCAGCTGCAGTTAAATTTGATTTAGCTGTATTATAATTTGTAAAAGCATTTCTAACATCTGTATCTAATTGAAATGCTTCATTTGAAATTAAATCAATTAATTTACTCAAAGGATCAGTTAATTTAAATTTGGCATTCTTCCATTGGAAATGTTCTGCAAAATCTGTAACAAATTTATCATCAACTTTTTTAATTGAATTTATTAAAGGATAATTATAATCATATAAAGAACTTAAAACTTCCACAATTTTAACAACGGAACCAGCCAATTGTTCATCTATTTTACTTAATTCTTCACTTTGTAAAACTAATTGATCTAAAGTACCAATTTTAAAACTTGGAATTTGAAATTTATTAATTTGTGATTTACCATTTAATAAATTTTGTTCTAACCATTCATTAATATCAGTAGTTGGAGCTGATTCTGGTGCTGCTTTAGAAGGTAAAGATAGCAATACGTAACTAGCAATTGACTCGGACATGATTAAAATTCAATGTCTTTTGATGAATGAATGTTATTTTATAGTTATCAAATCTCACAATTCTGCCTTGTGTATATTTCATATTATTGTTATCTGGCTTCCTTCCTCCTTTAAAGAATTCCAAAAAGCTGCCAAAATTCATGATTGGCGGGTAAATTAGAAGTCACGTGCGTCATAGGGTAAATAAAATGACAAACTTTAATTAGCCGAAATAATATAGATCTCGATTCTCAATGTGACATAAATAAAAAGAAAAATAGATCATATATTTGAGAGTACGAATAGATAATTACAAGAATGAATGAAATACAATCAAGTAGATTTAAAATACTTATGTAATATATACGTATGTAATATCAATCTAGAAGTACCCAGGAAAAATCAACAGCTCAAAAACTTCATCAATGACCATCGTTTTTAAATTGTTTATCAACTTCTTCATCACCAGTACCAGCATATTTAGATGTTGCTCTTAATTTAGGACCATTAAAATAAAACAAAACCGGGACAGAAATCAATAAGAAAGTTATAACTCCCAAGATAGTTGAACCCCATGCAACAGGGAATTTCTTTGTTGAAAGATTTTTGAATAAAGCTCTACCAAATAATGGGAAACATCCACCAACAACTGATCTCATAAATGCATTACTTGCAAATGCAGAAGCAACAAATCTGAAAAATGACATACCAACATAATTTAATAACGTTTGAAACATGATGATACCAGATGCACCATATATAGCACCACCAATTAATGAACCAAACCAATGATTTGTTGTGGTGGCTGACCATCCAAATATAAAGATTCCTAAAGGTAACAAAATACTACCAAGTATAGCAATTGGTAAGAATGCTTCTGGGTGAACAGTTTCTTTTCTTAATAATGGATAAGTATACTGTTTAAAAGTTAAACAAATATAAATCAAAGCCCCACATAATGTTCCAATAACAATTGAAAGATAAGTTAAACCTGATCCCATTATGGAAAATTCACGAACTTCACCATAATAATAAGGAAAAGCTTCAAACCAAAGATACATAATTGCATACATCACAGAGATATAAATATTAATTAACATAATAACAGGTTCAAAAATTCCTATTTCAATAGGTCTCCATAAGATCTCTTTCAATGATCCACTTATGGATTGATGATTTGAATTTAAATCTTCTTGGATGATTATATTTGGATTTCCAGTTAAACGACGTAATCTTTCAGCTTTTTCATTTAGAATCATAGGATGATAAGTTTCAGGAACAAAAGTTAGGTAAAGAAATAATAATGCACCTGATACAATCAATAAAAACCAAAAACTCCATCTCCAATCATTAGTACCAACTTGTAATGCAGCACCAACAACTGGACCTAAACTAACACCTAAATAAGCACCAATCCCCCAAAGTGCAAGTCCCACAGGCATATAAGGTAGTGAATACATATCAACAAAGACACCACCACCCATTGCAAGGGGAGGAGAAGAGAAAATACCAGCAATAAATCTTAATATAGTTAATGAAGTAATATTTTTAGCTAAAGCTGTTGGGATTTGTAAGATTGAAAAAATTGCTAATGTAATGATGAATATTCTAACTCTTCCAATTGATTTATATTCAGATAATGGACTGAAAATCATTGGTCCAATACCATACCCAATAACAAACAATGATAAGGGTAGTGTTGCCTTAGTATGATCAATTCCAAATTCATCTTGTAATTGTTTTAAACCTGGTGTATAATTTGCTGAAGCGATATATGTGAATGTTGACATGACACCAGTTATGAAACTAACATAGATACGAATAGGTAATGGCCAATTATTTGGATTTTCTGGATCATCTTCACCATCCCAAGTAACAATAATATATTTTGATTCTAAGTCATTAGTTGTTGATATACCATCTTGTGAACCTGTGCCTATGAATTCTTCTTCTTTTTCAATTGATGAGTCCTTACTCGCTAGCAAGCTTTGTTTTGAGATGTATTTCTCAGGTATAACATAATCCGTATGATCTTCTTTATGAATTAGTAATTTACCACCAGATACCTTGTAAATAAATTTCCCTAAGAAACTTCCTCTCAATATTAGCTTAATCATTCCTCCATGAGCTGTCATGTTGATTTAATTCAAGCACCAACTTATGCTATGGTGAAACCCCCTTC